ATACACTTACCGATAAGGGAGTTGAGGAGCACCAGGGAAGAGTTTGAGCGAAGCATCACTTTGTTGATGAAGACAGATGGAGAGCTGAAGCAGACGAAAGAGAAATTGAAAGAGGTTGAGGGAGAGTTGGAAGTCACGGAGGGCCAATCAAAGGTGGTGAAAGGAGCTCTTGAGGAGGAGATTGTTGTGCGCCAGGTGTGCCAAGTCAATGATCACCTCACTGCACCAAATAGCCCAGCCACTGCTTGTCCAAGGTACTCGTGAGGACATTCCTCCTGGAATGACACAGAGAAAACGGACATGGGAATACATGGATGAGTGGGAGCTGACAGAGAGTCGAGATGTCGTCCTCTAGTTGCAGAGACAAGGAGAGCCAATGAGACATGCTTCTGAACCTCTACCTTCGCAGCACCCATAGAAACCCTTTCAGAGCAAATCGAAGTCGATATGCCAGTCAACAAGTGGTTGGAGATTATTTTCTCCCTAGCTTCGTGTTTGGGGTGGTGGTATTCATCAGCCATCCGATGCTGCGAGGTTGTATACCTTCTACAGTCTTTGCGACGAGCTGGGTATACTTGCGTGGTCGGAGCTCATCTTCTCCGACTCACTATCAACCATTGACCACTTCTTGCTGGAGTCCATCGAGCCTGAAGTGTGTCAGAATGTTCACAGAGTTAACAGGCACCCAAGTAATGTGCAGTGGGCTGATGGCAATGAAATCAAGGGTATCGTAATGGCAGCTAATGCCTCCCTTGCTAATGACACACATTACCTGGATGAGGTCCACAATCTACCATAGAAAGCAAACTGGATGACTGATTTTTGTTCAACAGTTCGTTTACTACTAGTACATGTTCTAGGATTACTTACATGACATCGTGCTTTCTGAGATGAACTCTGTTCCGTACACCAACTGTTCGACGACTCACGGTGTTCTAAGTCTCCATATATTCTTCATTTTTGCAAATGGCACACCAGGATTTACATTATCAGTGTGGTGAGAGGGTGTGCGTCATGTTGGATACTACTTGTGAACATTCCAATATCACGTCACATGTGTCGCATAATTGTTTGGTCATATATTGTGGCGCGCTACATTCCATATCAGGCCATAGCTGACTTCAGCAATTTTTGCAATGCTCAGTTAGTGGCGGCAGCATTGGCTTTCTCATACCTTCATCACAGAATGATACAACTACAATGCCTCAGAGGCCTTTGATCTGACAACATACCCTGTTGGTCAGTGAGTCCAAACACCAACCCTTTTTCACCGTCGGACTTAGCCTGGTGACCAGCCCCTCTATGAGACAAACCCTCGATAGAGGGACTGGTAAATCTGGGTTTGAATTTGGATAGTGCACGCTTTGGAGTAATCACATGACCTGTAGCCAATAAGAAAACTGTAATTTTCGACGTGAATATTTGAAATGTTGAAATTAATGTTTGATTCATATTGATGCGATGCAAACATGGTCGCGTCATTAATGTATGTATCTACTCTACAACTCCAATGGACGTGAACTCTATCATCCAAGCTGTGCGGGAAGCCTCGATGGAAAGACTAGATTCATTTGCTCATTCGCTAATACAAGAACGGCTCCCTACCAACTATATCAAAACCCTCAGTGACAAGGATAGACGGATGTGTTACGCGCTTGCCTGCTCATGTACATCCTCACGGCTACAACCATTGTTCCACAAGTATTCCAGCTAGAAGCCATTCTTGCAACATTGAATGGCTGTGACAGCATAATTACAGCCGGTACAGGCTGCGGAAAGACCTTGTGTTTCATAATTCCTAATCTATTTCGTCCGGACACTATCAGTGTGACGATTTCACCTCTGAAACGTCTCCAGATCAGTATCAATGAGCATCGAGAGGTCCCCGTCATCCCAGGACCATCCTTGAGACATTTTCCCCTTGAGAACAGGCGCTTAGGACCAGTACTATCTCAGAAGAAGCCGAAGTTTGAATTCAAATCATAAATAGGGCTGTCCGAGTGCAACGTGACGCTGTCCTGCAGCGGCCAGTAGAACAGAGCTGATCGCTGCCGGAGTCGACGAGCAATGTTGACATGTTCAGTATGTAATTGAGAACTTAGCAAAGACTTATCTAACTCCCGAAAAGGATTTTCAGTCATGTGATTACTCCAAAGCGTGCACTATCCAAATTCAAACCCAGATTTACCAGTCCCTCTATCGAGGGTTTGTCTCATAGAGGGGCTGGTCACCAGTCTACGTCAGACTGAAGTGAGGACTTGCAGGTTTGTCAAATGAATTTGGGTGTGCAGCCATCGTTGATGAAAGGAGTTACACTAATGTTGTCGATGCCATCCTGCCCTTTGGTTACAACACCAAGGATGTCTGGCTCCTGATGAACGTGACTGCTACTGTGGATAACAAATTTGTGACCAGCGAATCCTACGTATGTCCTTTCTGTTTCTGGTATGAACAAGTGCTGACAAGTACTTTGTACATTAGTTCACTCCGGTGTTGCTCGCCTACTCCAACCTTGTTGACCCACAGATCACTGTGATCGCAGGCGACAACTATATAGTTACATTATCTGCTAAGGGCGGCGTAGGTGCATGGATGTGGCTTGATCACCCTTCAGGGACAGTTGGGTACTTCCTTGATCCCACGACTGGGCTTCCTTCAAACAGTTACTACCTCATTCCTGGTATCAACCATACTGGTAAGCCTGATTGCCCAATATCGTTGTCGCATGGCTCACAATCAGCCACAGTCCAATTCATATCCAGTATAGAACTTGCGACTGTCCAAAGTCCTGATCCCGCCTTTTCATTCCTCAGCTGCATCAATATACTACATTTGCATTCAAACACGTATATATTACCTGCACACCTTTGTTATGCATATTAATGGTCTGTACAATTTTTATACCAGTTCATATCTGCACTACCAAGGGTGAATGACATTCATTCGGACATACAAATAACCTAGCGTTTGCAGACCTAGTAAGTGCACTAATTTCCAGACTGGGCCTTAAATATGAGTGTTATTCCACAACGACCTCAGAAATCACAATGAAAATGTCAACAGCAAGATAACAACGAAGTTATTAAATGAAGTGTCTGTTCGTCAATACCCTCATGGCCTTCTAGAGCTGTCACGATGGTGGATGACTGGTCAGATAGTTTTTGAGAGCCAGACACGCAACAGCGTTCTCAAGCCACAAGGATAGTGAATCCAGGTGCATCATGATCTCAAGATCAGATGTTTTCTCGTTCATCGGGGGGAGAAGCAAGTTCAGATCACCATACATCACCGAAGGCTCCAAGATGTCTTTGTTGGAGAGAGGCTCCAATGGAATGTCAGGCAGGCACTCCTTCTGTTCAGGATAAGGACAAAAGATGCAGCCTGAGGTCAGGGCCTCAATACGCAGGCATAGCATAGCTAAGTTTCTGACTTGAGCGATGCTCAACTGGACTCGAGCTGTGGATGTAGATGTGCTCAGATGCGACCCAGACGCATCTAAGTCCTGGCGGCCTAAGAGGGCTGCTGGGTAAATGAGGGAAACCATCTCTGGAATCTCCAGCTCCTTCAACTTCACTTCCCCGGCAGGGACAAGGGCTATCTGCATTTGCCGGATCACCTTGATGGTCTGAGTTGGTTGAAACTCTGAGTACTCCGTGTCCTGGCCATTCTCAAAGATCTTGGCATTCAACTCGTGAACGACGTTGGCGCTGCACATGATTTGCCCACCCAGCGTGAGCCCACTAATACGAGCGGCTCGGATGACCATGGGCCCAAAGTAATCCATGTGACCAGTGATAGGATCTGGTTCGTACACTGGAGTACCGCAGTGGACGCCCATGCAGACTGAAAGGCCACATGCAAGAAGTTGACCATGCTCATCATACACCTCTTTACCCTTAGGGCACTTCAATATCTCCAGCAGCCAGGGTTCACAGAGAAGTTGCAGCTGAACGATGAGGCACCACCACATCATGGCAAGGGCAGTCGGAAAGGAGCACATGAATGTGTTGCCTTCCGTCTTGACAACGTAACCACCACAAGTTCGAAGATATTGTCGCAACAGGTTATTGTGAATACACATTGCTGTGGGCATGCCTGCATTTGCTTCCCATAATTGTGTTGAATTTCGAATGTCGGTGAATACCAAGCAGAGATGCCCAGTGGCTGGTGAAACCTCTCCTAAGTGAGCAATGGTGCGATCAACGATATCTGCTTTCTTCCCTGCCATCTTTTTATTGATAGAGCTGTAGACCTCTGGATCCACAAGCGAGTCTGTTATGGGCTGTCAAGAGTGGAAGAGGTCGGAGACGCATATTACCATGATCATGGTGTTTCCATCCGCACCATAGCTTATGGCAAATTCATGTAGCTTCTGTGCCGCAATCATTGGGTCAGCTTCTGAGTGAGCAATGTCGACTGCGGTCTGGTAGGATATATACTGCCACAATCCGCTGTTGCCAATGATCACGAACTCATTGAGCTCGGTTAGCTGACAAACGTAGTAGATGTCGGGTTGAGCATTGACAACGGGAAAGTCGTGGAAATATCCAAAGGCTCGAGACATGTTAACCTCGTTATGGATGAGGCCCGTCGATGATATCCAGCCCTCTGCGAACCGGATGCGCCTCGCCTCATCCCGGTCATAAGGGTCATGATTCTTGAAAATAAGTTCTGCATTCCCTTGGCTCGAGATGACAGCAAGGGCATGCCCAACATTAGCAACATACAGTGTTCGGCCGACCATGTATACCACGATGCCCGAGGCTCCCTGTTGGAGGTGAGAAGAATCGGGTCCAGAAGGACCGGTGGTAGATGCGCTGACTTGGGACATCTTACGAGATGGCTGCGAGAAGAGCTTGTCATGGAGCTGTCTGTTCAGCTTCAGGAATGTGTGCCTCATTGCGTCCAGTATGCTATCCCTTCGCTCCCCTTTCTGGTCTTTCTTCAGCTGAAGAAGCTGCTCAGTAAAGACAGAGGCGTAATTGTCATGCAGGTATTTCGACAGAGTATTGTTGCCGAGAAGAGCTTTAGTACGCCCAAACATTGCGAACAGTGCCTCATCCTTCTTCCCTCTGAATTCGGGCAGGACGAGATCGAGCGTGGTTAGATACCCATTCCTCCCAATAGTGTCGGCAATGTCATATGACATTCCGTTAACTTCCGTCTTAGAAGTATGAACACGTCGCTCGTCAAAGTCTTCGGGAATATTGGGAAGGAAAGTGGTCATGACATCCATCAACCCGAGAACACGGAGCTGAGATAGTTGAGAGAAGTCGGAAAGCACTCTTCCATGTTCATCCACCACGTTTGCTTAGAAGAGGCATTGCATTCAGGACCTTACAGCGAATGACTGTCGCACCTAACTGGTGGCGCCCCCTCTCAGAACTTCGTACTTATACATTGGGACATCGACAACCCCCTTTCAATCCCCCATATGTTGATTACATTGTGTATGAACAACTATGTCATGAGTTTATGAATTGTCCCCGGGTGAGAGCTGCATTCTTGCATGGGGGACTCGTATGGCGATTGGCTTTGCACAGCCTGGGTGTCAACCATCTTCCATCTGTCCTCAATGGTATATCAACTGAAGCTGTTCCATTTGGCGACCTATTGGTTGGCGATAGTGGCCAGACTTACTATGACTATGGATTGTCGGGGGAGGAAATCGATTTTATGTGCAGAACATACTACATAGATCACTGTAAGCTTGCTACAGTTCAGTCCCATCAGTACTAATAATCATACTTTCTAGGTGACAGCCTGGAGGTAGTTTCATGGTGGCCTCAGCCCAACGCTTGGAACATGTTAGGCTTGAACATTGGTTTTTGGTCCGCTCGGTGCGAGGACTGGTTTCAAGTACGTCTTGGCAACCTTCGAGAAGGTGTTTCCCGCATGTGACATTCACTCACCAAGGACGCTAATGGTCCAATGACCTCCATGCAATGGAAATGTTCACTTAAATTTTAACCTGTGACCAATAAGATCATGTGCAACACTTCGGCAGCATGTTATGATTTCATGACAAAAGCACCAGGTAAGAGTTTCTTTACTCCCTTCGTATTCATGCTCATGAGTTTTACATTACTGTATATATATATTTTTGCCAATTTCAGTCTGATCGTCATTTGTGCTTGTTGCGGGTGGTGAGTGGGCTATGATTGAGCAATGAGTGGGTGACAATCAGGCGATTTATCTCGTCCAAGGGCAAAACTTAAAGTTTTGCCATCACATTTTGTCGCTGGCGTAAACTTCAAAATTTTAGTAGTCCCTAATTGGTGGGTCTCAAAGTTAAAATATCAAAGCAACAAAAAAAATATATACATCTAAAACACGACGGCTTCAAGCTGTATTGAAGCTCCGCCATAATTGATAAGATAACAAATACAAAGTACAATCATGGGGTGATTGATAACGATGAACAATGCCTCATACCTCAGCTCGCAAACACATCCTACAAGCACTACGTACCAACCAAATAGACTTACAATTTGCTCGATACCTGGAACTAGCCAAGACTGCAATTGAAGGACTTGATGAGTGGGATAGTAGTCGTAGTTCAAGTTCATCATCCGAGTCTCCAGACTCGGATGATACTAGTAGCATGATGGATGTGTCATCCATATTGTCCACCTCCTCCATCACCAAGTCGCTTTTTTTGATGTCGGCGTCCTCTGCGACCAAGATACTAACGATGTCGCATAGTTTCACTGAATTCAGTGACACAATCAAAGCCTTGCACAATGAAGTCGAGAAGAGTCGCATCCTCTTCGCACGTCCAAAATCAAGCCATGCACCACAGCTCCATCTGCTGGAGGAGTGGGTGCTGGATCATCCTGAGAAATTTTGCCATAAACTTCGCGTAGATCCCCCCATCTTCGAGCACCTTGTTAATTCAATCATTGCCCACCCAGTGTTCCACAACAACTCCAATAACCCACAGTTGCCTATCCTGGTGCAGCTGGCAGTGTTCCTAAATAGCACGGGTCATTATGGAAATGCGGGTGACAACAGAAGACATAGCAGAATGGGCAGGTATCTCGACGGGGACAGTTTATAACTGTCATCGACGTGTAATGATTGCGCTTCTTCAGCATAATGACACCATAATACATTTCGACCCACTTTATGAGAACAATCAGATCGAGAGGGAGAGGGCAAAGACATGGGTTGAAGAACAAACATGCCCAGAGTGGAGGGGCGGATTTCTCTGTGTCGACAGCACACCATTTAACTTATTTCAAAAGCCCGGATGGCATGGAGAGGGCTTTTACAATCGCAAATTGAACTACTCACTATCAGCTCAGGTATGCCATGAACTATAATGAAAAAAAATAACATGTTCAAAAGGTCGTAATCATGCCACACAACCTGCACATTGTCGACTATGTCATTGGAGTTCCTGGGAGCGTGCACAACTCTAACACATTTTCAAAGGCCCGGGTTGCGCGCAATCCTAAATTTTTTTGAGCGGGAACAAGTGGATTTGGGCAGACACGGTGTATGGCTCTCGTCCATGGTGTGTCGTGCCCTTGAAGTGGCCAGCAGCTGGCAGGTTGAGCCATGATCAAAAAACATTCAACTATCATTTGTCAAAGGTAAGACAAACCATTGTCACACACCAATCAACTCACAATGTTTCCAGGTCCGTGTTCACTCTGAACATGGTTACGGTTCACTGAAGGGACACTTCCAGTCTCTTCGTGAACTGCGGATCCAAATACAGATGCAGTGAGATCTCAACAAGGCAAACATGTGGACACGGTGCTGTTTGATCCTTCATAACATGATCATTGAAATCAAAGAAAAACTTATCATTTGGGCACTTTGCCCGTGAAGCAAGACAATGGAGTAGACGTGAACATAGCAGGGAGGAAGAAGGTGGTGAAGATAGCGAAGATGGTGCTGGCGATGAGAGCTTCATCGGTTTGGAAGGGCAGATTTTTTTGGACACACTGATGGGTCAGTTATTGCACAGATCTGAATGAGTGACGCAAGGATAGTGAGGGGGGCTCAATTCAAACACTTGGATACATGATTAGCTACAATGAAAAAATAGGCCTAGAATGCAGTATGAATTTGTGAGAACGAACGAAAAACACCAAATGATTTGACATGGGATGCATGACTGTTAGTTACCCTGACAAGACATCTCCTTCTCCAAAGCCAAGCGCTCTAACTTCACTTGCTCTAGCTTTATCTCCAATTCAAGTTGCTTTGTCCGTTCATCTGCCATAGCATGCTCATGATTCTGAATTGCAGTAGTACTGCGGAATATGTGTTCATGCTCCTCTTGATGTTGACGGCCCTTGAGCTTCATACCAGCCATCTTGGACTCTAACTTGAGGTGCTTGTGTTCAGCCTTGGCAATAGATGACTCCTGGATGTGCTTTGCAAGGGACCCTGATGCCTCGTTTAACTTTGCACTAATTTCGGATACTGCATCATGTGGCCACTTGCGAGAGACAGATCTGCTAGATGTAGTCAAGGAAAGATCAGAGTCCTGATCAGATGATGTGTGGCCAAGATGATGAGTGCCACCGGTTTTGTGTGAATGCATGGCCAGGGATTTCATCATCCAGTGTAGAGGCTTGTGCCCCTACAGCCACATATGGCCTATATCACAGCTTGTGTCACCAAGCCATTGCCAGTCCCATCCCATCACTGCACAACATCATCCCTAGTCATTCACTATAGAGCGCACCGCTTTCCCATGCTAGCCGCAAGGCGCGCGCTACTTTCCCGCACCAGCCGCAGCATTCCCGCGCGTGCGCCTTGCGTGCTTTCTCGCACTTAAGCGCCCTGCATCGCCCATCATCCAGGAGCATCCATCCACTGTCCATCCAGCCCACAGGTACGCATTAGTTCGCTATTTTACTATTCATGTACCTTTCATTATTACCTACACTGTATGGCACCATTTCTCATGGGCCCAGTAGCTATTACATAGCGCTTTACCTCACTGTGGTTCACTTTGTGCTGAGCTGAGGAGGCATGGAAGGACTCTTCTGTTACCTACTACCACCCATCTAGTACCACTGAGCACCAGTATAGAGCCACACTTTAGAGCACAAATCATTATTCCACTTCTAATAGACCTTGTCTTGCATTGAGAGCCGCTTCCCAGCGCTTCACGCACTCTGGCGCTTTCCCCGCGCTTAGGCGCCCCCTTAGGCGCTCATTCAGCGTGCTTTGGATCATTTCTCTGCTGCCATCTGCTTCCCCGGGTCAAACAATTCGCATCACGCCTCGACCAACACTTAGAGAGAGTATAGCCCTATCTCCCACCCAGAGCTTAGAGCATCATTATTTCTTTCATTAGCTCTGCATTGCACCTTAGCAGAGTTGTTGTACCCACACCGGCTTGTGGTTGCATCAGAGTCATTAGACGAGGGATCTATCTGCATGTCTTGAGAGACAGCAACCTTGGTCTTGCCTGAGGAAATGGTGGATGGCAAGGGAAATTTTTGCCGGCCATCATCAGGTTCTGGAGAATTGAGAGAAATAGTAGGGCCTCGCTGCACTGTACAATTCATGTTGATGGAGGATATGAATGGGCGTTGGTAGGCAGACACTGGTGGTTGAAGACCTGGAGGAGGCTGCATAATGAGTGAGGAGTTGGATGATGATGTCTGAGGCTTGGGCTGAGTGAGCCATGGTGATGATGGATTGGTTGGATCATCCCAGTCAGGCCAGTCCTGATCTTTGCCATTGTGAGATGTGGAGGGGACATCATTACCGTCCATATGAACATCATCATCCTCACCCTGATTCATCCCTTCCTCAACATTGGCACGGTGTAGAGACTCACGTTTCGGCAG